CCGGGGGCTGTTGAGGCAGCGGGGGTGGCCCCAGATCTCCTCCAGCAGCCGCTTGGCGTCGAGGGCACCGTCCAGCCTGGTGAAGTACGTGTGCAGCTTCTCGCCGGCCTGCGCCTCGCCCGCCCCCACCTCCCACAGGCAGGGCCGCATGGAGACCACCCCATCTCGCACCGTGCCCGCCAGGACCCCCTCCGCCGGCCCCAGCCCCGCCAGGATCTCCCGGGCCCGCCCCGGGAAGCGCGCCGGGGGGATCTGGCTCATGGCCTGGCACTGCGCCAGGTAGCCCGGGTACCGCCCCATCAGCTGGCGGAAGTCGTCCTTGAGGAACTGCACCAGCTCGTCCACCGGCGCCCCCCAGTGGCGGAAGTGGGTAGCGATGCCGCGCAGCGCCGCCTCCATGTCCTCGGCGGGCTCCCCCGGCCGGCTGCCCCGCTGGGCGTAGGTCACCAGGAAGACGATGCCAACCGGGCCGTTCCTGAAGCGCGAGACGTTGAGGCAGCGGGGGTGGGTGCCACAGAACTGGCTCAGCAGGTGCCTCACGGTGCAGAGCCCGGCCCCCGGCCCCGGCCGGCAGTAGTAGGTCCAGGTTTTCTCATAGCCAGCTGCCCTGCGCTGCCAGGCCCGGCACCACGGCCCGGCCTCCCAGAGATAGTGCGTCAGCGCCCGGGTGCAGCCGATGTAGAACCAGCAGCCGGGGTCCCCAGAGACATCCTGGAGCCGGGCCTCCAGCTCGCCGGGGGCCACCGCCCGCATCCGCCGGCACTGAGCGAACCGGGCGTGGAAACCGTGAACTGCGGCCAGGAACTCCTGGGCCAGCTTCCCCCGCAGGGCCGCGGCAGGGGTCCCCGTGGGGCAACCCGCCTCCAGCGCCCCCCGGATGGCCAGCAGATCCGCGTTCAGGGTCCGGAGCTCCTCCGCCATCGCCGCGCACGGCTGCCGCTCTCTCCCTGGGACGGTGCCCTGAGGGGGGACGCAGAGAGCAGGGTCAGCGCCCACAGCCTGATCCAACCCCCTGGACCCAGCCGGACACGGAGCGGGCCGAGGCAAACGGAGACGGCTTCTGGGGGAGGTCCCCAGTGATGGCCCCCGGCGTTTGCTCTGGCCTGCCCCACATTCCACCTCGGGGCAGGCCACAGGGGATAGACAAGCCACCCTAATGCACTGCGGGGCAGGGGGAGTGCTGCTATCCCTGCTGCACAGATGGGGAAACTGAGGCAGCCCCACCCCTGCTCTAAACACCAGCCCCCACTCCCCTCCCAAAGCCAGGAGAGAACCCAGGAGCCCTGGCTCCCAGCCCCCCTGCTCTAACCACTAGACCCCACTCCCCTCCCAGAGCCGGGGAGAGAACCCAGGAGTCCTGGCTCCCAGCCCCCCCTGCTCTAACCCACCAGCCCCCACTCCCCTCCCAGAGGCGGGGAGAGAACCCAGGAGTCCGGGCTCCCAGCCCCCCCTGCTCTAACCCACCAAACCCCACCCCCTCCCAGAGCCAGGAGAGAACCCAGCAGTCCCGGCCCCCCCCGCTGCTTTAGCCCCACACTCTAGTTTCTGCGCAGCCAGAAGCGCCTCATCCCCTGAGCGCAAGGACACCCCCCCCCCCCCCCCCCCAACCACGCCCCCCCCGGACCCGCTGCTCCCCCCCCCACTGACCTGGGGGGGCTGTGAGCCGGGGGAGCTGCAGGGCCGAGCTGCCCCCTCCCCCTCCCTGCACAGGGCGCAGCGAAAGCGAAAGCTGGAGAATTGCGCAATGTTTGCGCCTCGCCTCGCTGCTGGCAGCTCCAGCCCCGCCCGGCCCCCGGGGGGGGCACCTCGGAGCCATTGGTAGTGACCCCCCCGGCCCTGCGTAGACCCTGCGCCCCGCAGCAGCCACGGCCGCCCCCCCCCAGCTGCCCCCTCCCCTCCGGCGTGTGACCAGCAGCTGCGCCTCCGGGCAGGGCTGTGTCCGCTCCCTGCGAGGGGGGGCCCTCGCCCGGCGCGGGGGGCACCTCTGGGGTGGTGGGCACACGGGGACCCCTC